CTGTTTAGCACACAGCATCCCTAACTTTCTACAGAAGGTTTAAAAATGAATAGGGAAACCAACTGATTCATAAAGAACAGGTGAAAAGTCAGTCACATAAGCTAATCCAACTATTAATCCTCTTATATTTATAGGACTGAATGTAACATAAAAGTTTCAGGTCCTTCTTCCAGGCATCTAGTAAAACTGTACCTAAATGAAGTCAATCAAAAGAATCCATAGAGGGTTTTTTTAAATCTAATTTTTTAAGGAACTTTCCATCTTTATTGAAATATAACAGACAATTAGTTGCTTGTACCATTTATACTGTACCATTCAATGAGGTTTTTTTTCAATTATAGTTAGCATACAATGATATATCAGGTTCACTTGTATAGTATAGTGATCAGAGATCCATATAACTCTCAAAGTGATCACTCCACTAAATCTAGTACCCTTCTTCCCCCTTACATATTTATTACAACATTATTAACCATTTTCCCCATGCTACACTCTGCGTCTCCATGTCTATTATGCAACAATCCATTTGTACCTCTTAATCCCTTTGCCTTTGTTTTGCCCCCCAAACCCCCTCTCATCTAGTATCCCTCTAAATATTCTCTGTATATATGAGTTTATTTCCACTTTTGTTGTTGTTGTTGCTGATTTTGTTCTTTAGATTCCATATGTATGTGAAATCATGCAACATTTGTCTTTCTTTATCCAACCCATTTCAGCACAATACCTTCTAGGTCCATTAAGGCAGTGTTATTTTCTATCCCCTTCCTTTTAATCTGTATGTGTCTTTTAATCTGAACTGAGTCTCTTGCAGGCAGCATATGTAGGGGTCTTGTTTTCTTATCCATTCAGCCACTCTATCTTTTGGTTGGAGCACTTAATTCTTTTCCATTTGAGGTACTTGTTGATAGGAATATAGTTATTAGCATTCTTTATTCCTGTTTTTGATATATGTTTTTTTTTTTTCTTAAAGAAGTCCCTCCAACATTTTTTGTAATACTGGCTTGATGATGATAAATTTCTTTAGCTTATTTTGTCTGGGAAGCTCTTTATCTGTCCTTCAACTCTTAAGTGATAGCTTTGCTGTATAAAGTATTCTTAGTTGTAGACCTGGGTTTTCACCACGTCAAATATTTTGTGCCAAACCGTTCTGTTCTGTATAGTTTCTTTTGAGAAATCAGCTGCCAATCTTATGGGTGCTCCCTTGTAGGTAACTAACTGCTTTTCTCTTGCTGCTTTTAATATTCTTTCTTTGTATTTAAACTTTGGCATTTTAATTATGATGTGTCTTGGTGTGGGCCTCTTTGGGTTTCTGGTTTTGGGGACTTTCTGAGCTTCCTAGAGTTTTGTCTATTTCCTTCACCAGGATAGGAAAGTTTTCCATCATTATTTCTTCAAATAGCTCTTCAACGTCTTGTTGTTTTTTTTCCAGTATCCCTATAACACAGATATTTTTACCTTTAATAGTGTCCCATAGGATCCTTAAATTATTATTACAGTCTTGGCTTCTTTTTTCTTGCTATTCTGATTGAGTGTCCTTGGCTTTCCCATCTTCTATATAGGTCATTTGATCCTTTTCTTTATTCACTTTGTTTATTCCTCTGTTTATTCCATTTAATATACTTCTCATCTCAGGTCATGTGTTCTTCATTTCAGATTGATTCTCTTTTATAATTTCCATTTTCATTTTTATGTTTTTTTTTTTTATCTCTTTGTTGAAGTTCTCACTGAATTTATCTACACTTCCTGTGGTAGGTGTCCAATGGCAGTCTTGAGACAGGTTCAGCTGCAGGCCAAATTTAGCCCCAGTCTGTGCCCCTCCAGGGCCACCTGTTAAGATTCAACAAGCAATCCACAGATGCTGGACTTATAGTTGCCTCAAAAGGCCATGCCAGAAACTGAGGCCAGGTGCCACCAGTGTGAATCTACGCTCTGCTCAGCAAGGGGTGCCTGACCAAGCGAGGAAACACCTGGATGTGGTGAGTCGAGGGAGATGGGGTTTCAGGGAATCCTCTGAGCAGAGAGACCACTGTTATCCAGTTTCATGCAGTTTCCACTATGGCTGTGCTGCCTCCACACACTGGGAGAGGGGAGGGCTCAACAGAGGAACAGTGGATACTGCCAGCACTTCTATACAGAGCAAGTCTCCCCTCAGCCCTCGCTCTGACAACTCAGTGTACCCCTGTAAGTCCTTGGTGCCCCCATGTAGCCTACCTAGCGCTAGTGCTCAGAGTGAGCAGATCCATCACCCCGAAAGTCGGATAGCGGACACGACTCCTTTAAGGAGCATCTGCAGCTGCCGCTGCTATGGCCTCTGTCCCACTCAACCACTCTGGACCAGACAGCATCTCATCCTTGCCCTGTCCTACCTTCTGTGTTGCAGGGTGATTTCTTAGATTTCACCTTAGTTGTATGACTTATTAATTTAGACCCAGTTGATTTTCCTTACTATTCGCTCCTTGTTTCTGTCACAACTTTGATTTGGTCGCCAGAGTAATTAACAGAGCCTCTATCATCTACGTCATTTTTTTCTCTCCTTCGAAGTTTGCAATTTTTTAACATATGTTTGCATAGAGTGTTTTCCATATGAATTTGATGTTTTGATTTTTTTATTAAAGGTATTAATTTATCCTTTCACAGATTCATTCAGTAAACCTTTATAAATGGCCTGCTTTATTTTAAATGCAAGGAAATATTTGAAATTTATCTGATTTACTAACCAATTGGAATTTAATCCCTAAATTGGTAATTAAATTTCACGTATAAATATTTTTAAAAGGTCTGCTTTTATTTCTAAGTAGATTAAATAATGAAAGAAAATGTGTAGAATTTTTAAATTTATTGTTACTTTTGTCTTAACATAACTGTTAGTCATCAATATTAGTGTAATGTCAGCATACAATACTTAAATTTTTAAAAACCCAATAAATTCATAATAAAATTTTATCATGTATTGATGGTAATAAAATATTTTTTTTTTATGCAAGAGGCAAATTTTAAGAATGCAACATTAAAATGATATATACAGGAACTATTTCTTCTTTTCCCTTGATGTAATCCATTTCAACACTAACATGAAAGGAACATCTCTGAAAAAGTTCCCAGACACTTTAAATCTTTATCTTTTGTTATTTCTGATGAACTAGATTTACACTCTTCGTTTCCCCATATCAATTCATTATTTAATTCAACACTTTTTTATTGAATATCCTGTACATGAAAATATAATGTATTCGAGGAGTGGTATTTCAGCTGAGTTTTGAAAGCTGAGATTGTGTTGGCTCTATCTGAGGTGGGGAAGAATGTTCCAAGCAGGACAATTAAGTTTCTCAGTTCTGGAGAAGAAAAGAGCCTGGTATATTTAGGGGACAGAAAGGAGAATATTGTGGCCAAAGGGGTCATGTAGTACATTATAGACCTTGTTAACAAGTTGACATGTGTACTAAATATGTTGGGAAAACATTGAAGTTCTTTAGAAAGCTGAGAAATGGCACAATATAACAAGTTCAAAAGAGGAATCTGGCTGCTTTGTGGATGATACCTTGTAGATGAGCAAGAACAGGAGCAAGGGAATGAATTATTTGGTGATTTCAGTACTATAAGAGAGAAGAGCATTTACTTTGTTATGTGGCGATATGCCTTTATAAAATGATATGCCATATGTTCAAACGCTAGGGGTAATATGCAAGATCACTTGATTTTGTGAACATATCACGATTCATCTGGGCATTGAAGCAGGGGCAGGCAGCAGGAAAAACAGCTGAGCTCTTGATGTCTCTTGTTTATTTTATGATTATTGGTCTATGTGACATATCAGTCTCATAATTTCAACATGTTTTCTATAATTCACTATTTGTTGTTTATTTAATACTATAGACATCGATTTCCCCTAGAACCAATACTGACTCAACATCTAAGTTGATAATTCAGTTGGCCCTTAAACAACTCAGGGGTGTCAAGCCCTTGTGCAGGAGAATATCTGTGTATAACTTTTGACTCCATAAAAACGTTAACAGCCTACTGTTGACCAGAAGACTTACTGATAACATAAACAGTTAACACATATTTTATATGTTGTATGTATTATATACTGTATTCTTATAATATTGTAAGTGAGAGAAAAGAAAATGTTACTAAGAAAATTATAAGAAAAAGAAAATACACTTACTGTGTTTATATTCATTTAAAAATGCACCTGTGTAGCTCAAATCTGTGGTGTTCAAGGGTCAACTGTATATTGTGAAGCATCATTTTAAAAATGCTACAAAGTTACTTTCCACTTTGTATATTACCAAGAACAGTTAAACTACATCTGAGAATCTTGCTTAATTGAAAGTATCACATCTGTAAAATTGAGCTGAAAATTTGTAGAAATTAATTGCCTTTGGAGAAATTTTTTGTGTATTAACTATATTTGGATTAGTTGTGCTAAGATAATGGCCACTGCAATAATGACAATGAGACCAATTTAATTCTAAGTATTTGTGATAGTGCCACAAAATTATTTAAGTCCAGTTTATGTGTTTGCTAGTTTTTAAATTGCAGATACTCTATCTCTTAGGTAAATGAATGTGCTCATAATTAGCCTTTGGCTTTCTATCTTTTCATTTATGTTTCTTTTATAGTTTAAAAATACAGACCACTACAAATTTAATCACATTTCATAATTTAATTCTAAAGATAATTTCTGAATTAATAACACATGGATTATGTCATTTATTTAGATACAGTTACAACTAGGTAGATGCATTTGCCAACTAGAAATAATTTTAAGTAAATTTCACATTCTTATAAATATTATTCAAAATGCTAACCTAAATTTTAAAAATATTTTTCGAAATAATAATATGAGTAAAATTAAATGTTTATTTTCTGATTATTTGTATTTATTAGTTCTTAACCACATTTATGCTCTATTTTAGATTTTAAAAGCATAGCATTTTTATTTTACAGATTGTTGCTTTGCGTGAACAAAATGTTCATATACAAAGAAAAATGGCATCGAGTGAGGGATCTACAGAGTCAGAACATCTTGAAGGGATGGAACCTGGCCAGAAAGTTCATGAAAAGGTATGACCCATACGACATGCTTTTACATGAAATTGTTTACTTGCTATATCATTTAATAGGAATATGAAATATGAAATCTATGTAATAAACACTCTTTATTATATTTTGATTTGTTTGTCAAAAGTTTATGGTTATTTCTCTTTTCATTTGTGGCTCTTGATTTAATTCTCTGATACTGTATATATGTTTGTGTTTATGCTTATGTATATTTGAATTTCTCAACTTGCTGTTAACTTGATTCTCTTAAAAATAATTCACTTATATATAATTGAACATATATATGTAATTGAATAAATATATCTATATAAATATAGATATATTGATACTATATGTCCAGGACTTTTTAAAATACAATAACAATAATTTTGATCTACAAGTGGTATTATGTACAATTGGCAAATAATCTGTGACTTATCACTACAAAAATTTTTTGGTAATTTCTAATTTGACTTTTGTATTCTCTGTGTGTTTGAGAAGGTCCCAGTAATACTCCAATTACTGAGTAATTACATTAAAGGATATCCGAAGTCATGGGGGTGGGGCTTTCAGGTAGGTCTTAGGCCCAAGGCCAAGGAAACCAACAGTCTGGTTTGTCCCTTTTCTGTACTGAACCACTTGTTTTCAGCACAAGGGGAAGGCCAACTGCTGGTAAGTCTGGAATCAGATAAAGACTACATAATCATTTGCATATTCTGTGCACAAGGCTTAAACAATCTCCTGGATATTTGCCATTAATAAGTTTTAACTTTGGATGGTTGAACTCCTTAATCATCAAGACCACATGACTTAGGTAGATAAATTGGTGTCATCATCAATATCAAGAGGTCATCATCAATGTCAAAATCTCTATTTTAAAACATAGAAAATAAGAAACAAGTGATTAGACCACAAAACAAATAACACTAGACTTTTTGCTAGAAAATAAATTGAGCACTTCCTCACTTATCCAGTTGAAACAAATGGAGGGGCTTCTTATATTTCCAACCTGAAGTGTAAAAGCAAAGGCGAGCAAGTAAACCAGACTAATTTCCTGAGACCGCCATCAATTCTGGTGACTGAGAAACAGCTCTTAGCTTAAGGCTTCATCGTTTTAGCCTTTATCCATGTATTTTGTAGAAATCTTAAACTAAGTACTAAAAATAAACTGTAATCTGACAGCTAGATTTCATAAGCTGTATTTCAGATTTGAATAAAAATTACTTATCTTTCTTTTAGATAAATAAACTTGCATTAATTCAGTAAATGAACTACCAAGCTCTTTAGAATAAGACATTGGCATGTAAAACTCTGTTTAGGAAACTAACATGTAATTTTCTATTACTGTTTCATTTTATTTCATGAATACTATATTTTATTTCATTTTACATTTATTTCATTTCATAGTATATATTTTATGGCATTTAATTTTATTTTACCACTGTTTCATTTTAATTGTTATCAGTCATACAGTGCTAAACTTTTCCTTAGAGAATTATAGAATCACTGGTTTGTGTATGAAAATGGACTTTATAGTCATCTAGTCTTTTTCTTAAAAATCTACAAAATATTATTTGCTATAACAATGCCATATTTATGCTAATCCAGACTAGAATTAAAGAAATAATGTCTTTCAAAGCCATAAAGAATTTGTGATCCCTTTCATTCTCTAAAAAGCTATTTGATTTTTAAAGTATTCTTTTAGTACTGCTAAGGAAGAGTACTCACACATATATTTTTCTCAAATATTATTTATTTAAAATATAAATTCTAAATATTTAGGCATTATAGAATATGAAATATGTCAGATTAATTTTCAGAAACTGGTTACAGAATTAGAATGAGGCTCTGAGTATAATTGATTTTCATCTCTTTTGGATTCCACAAATAGAGGTATATATGTGGGAGATTCTGAGTAGTTGATGACCTTAAGTACTTGTCTTTAAGTTTCATTGCCTTCCAGTTCTTGGTAAAGGCATTTTAGCCAGTGCAGAAGAGAAATTCTGTGACATTGCTACCTTACTCACTCTTTGTTATGAATGTAACAAAAAATTTTTAAACATTGCAATTATTGATATTTTTTTCAATGTCCCAGAATTGTAGGAAAAGTGATTATCAAACGCTCTGGAATAATGATATACTAGTATTATTTAAAATAGCATACCCTTATCCTCCCAAGTGAACCTAAAATATACGTCAAAACTTAAAAGTAAGTAAAGTTTTGTTTCAGTTCATGTTACTCCTGAGATGATTCAAGAAAGTACTATGAAAGACTTATTTATATCACATTTCTTTGCCTGACATTTTTTTCCAGCATTATTGTGATATCGTTGACATATAACGTTGTGTAGATTTAAGAATGACAATGTGATAACTTTGTATATGTATGTATTTTGAAATGATTACTACAATAAGATTAGTTAACACATTCATTACCTCACATAGTTACCTCTGTGTATGTGTGTGCGTGTGCTTGTGTGGTGAGAATATTTAAGATTCACTCTCTTAGCAGCTTTCAAGTATACAATGCAATATCGTTGACTATAATCAACATGCTGTGTATTAGATCCCCAGAACTTATGCATCTTCTAAGTGCTATTTCTTATCAAAATATTTTCTGAAAATAATATCCTAATTATTCTTTTATTATGCTTATGTAAACACTTCTAAATAACATACATATAGCATTATAAAGCATATTTTCTTTTCAAAATTACCTGATATTAAATGGTTATTTTAAGTATATCAATACCATTGAATATCATAGAATATTATAGAATTGTAATTTAAATCCTAACACTTAAGTTTCTATTGAGAACTGCTGGAAAGGTATATTCAAACATAAAAAACAAACAAAATTTTGGGGAGTGTCTATGTAATGAAAGTTATCAGTGTAGGATGACTATCATATCAGTGTGTAAATTGCAAAGTGGTTTCTTTGGGGAAAAACACCAAACTATAGTTAGGTACGATGGTACTGTCAGAAAGTGACTTGTAAATCTTAGTCACAAGGATTACTCTTTGTTTAGGGCAGTGAAGTTACTTAAATTACATGGTCGGGGTGGGTTATTAGCCAACAGGAGATGTTTTGTGTCAGTGGCTTCAGAACTCTTCTGACAAAATAGTTTATAAAAATAGTCTCATAAAAGCACACTCTGAAACAGGCCTTATTACTCATAGAAAAGTTGTGTAATTATTATAAACATTTAAAGAACAAAATGAAAAAATAAGCTTAACTAAAACATGTTTAAATGTTTTCGTGTGCCATAAATTTAATCAGTTATTCTAGAAGAACTTAAATATTCACAGGATAATAAAAATTTTCAGAACACTAAATTCTACCTCATTAGGAGTTCATAACTGAGCTCAATAACTTTTTTCTTGTTACTTTCTAGAGGGCAATTTGTGAATTTTTTTCAATAAACATGCGACTCTTGTAAAGGAGATAATGCACGACTTGTATATTCTGTACTTTTAATTATTTTTTCCACCCACAAATGTTTACTAAGAGATATAAATAAGTAGAATATTGATAGTTGTGGAGACTCAGAGACATAGTCCCTACAATAAATTCACTAAGAAACTAAAGTGAGAAATGAACATTCCCAACTTAATATTACAATAAAAGTGATGAATAAATTGGAATCAAAATAATGTTAGAGTTTAAAGAAGAGATAAATTAATTCTGATTGGGGGGTGTCAGAGAGGCAGCATGGACTAGTGATTTGTTTAAAGCCAGTAGACCTAGATGCAAATTCCATTCCTGCCAGTAACTAGCTGAGTGACCTTATGCTTCAGCCTCCCTGAGTATGTTACAGATAAATAGCCATTGCCTAACTTATAGCTTTGTTGAAGGAATAGAAACACTGACTATGAATGACAAAAGTTTGGGCACATTGACTACAAGCATTAGTGTGGTTCATTCACTTTAATAAATATTTAGTGATGACTTATTAACGGTGCTAGGAAATATGTCCTGTTCTGCGTGGTTGGGTCAGAGTCATCAACAAAAGAGATGAGGGTACTAGCAATTAACAAATGCATATAAATGGGTAAAGAGAGTCAAAAGGTAAAAAGAAAAAAAATTGTTCTTTTAAAAAGAGTGAATGTGATCCAAGGGCAGGTGCAAGGTAGGTTGGGAGGGGACATTAAATAGTCATGGCAAGGAAAGACTTTTTTAGGAGGTGGAGTTTGACCTGGGACCTGAAAGAGTACAGGGAGTCAACCATATCAAAAAGCTGAAGGAGATTTTGAAACAAAAGAAACATGAAGTACAAAGTTTCTTTGGCACATTCTCTGGGAGGAAGAGTGACAGGGTAACTGGAACCCAGTAGTGAGGGGGAAAGAGAGGCAGTAGACAGGACGGAGCAGTGAGCAGGGTCCAGATCATTTATGTTCTTGTAGGCTATGGTAAAGAGTCCAGTTTTATTCACAGAGTAATGAGAAGACATAATAGTGTTTTAAACATGAAAACACCTTGATTAGATACTTTTAAAAAGTCATCTGCCCTATAATTTTCTATAGACTTGTCATTTTTTTCACATATCAGACTTCTGAAGTAGGTGATTTTCCTTCTCTTAAGTTTACAGATAATGAACTTGAGGCTTACGTAGGATGATTAAATGACTTATTTGGCCAGAGCAGGACAAAACCCTGGTCTTTTCACCTCCAAGCAATATTGTGCTCTCACATTTTTTCATACCAGGATGATTTCTCTGGGTGTTTTGTTGGTTTTTAAAAATTTATTCTAACCCAATCTCATTTTTTCAATCATTTATTCTTTCATAATTAGACATATTTATTTGATTTTTAGGGTTTATTCTTTTATTATATTCGAGTATGCTTTTTTAAAATTCTTTAATTTTTCCCACAACTTCTCCCAGTTAATTTTTATTCTGAACCAGTACTTCAAGTCAGTGGCATTCAAAATATTTGACCACTATGAGTATGAATCTTAAATCTGGGCAAGGGGGCACAGGCCTCATAATTTACCAGGTCTTGATCTGGCCTTCTGTTCTCCTGTC